AACGCAATTTTATAAAACAAATATTTATTGTATACAGACACAAAAATATAAAAATTTCGCAAACAGAATATGTATTATATGTATAGCTAGTAACAAGTTCGACTACTCATACTTTAAGATTTTTTAATACTAACAAAACAATATTTAATTTAATATAAATATTAGTAGATTATTTTATAAAATAAAAAATATTTAAAAAAAATATCAATAGTAACACAGATTCTTTGTTAAACGATATCACAACGTGGTGAAACTAAACTGAGACTGAACAGATAATTTGAGACTAATAATTTGAGATAATTTGAATAATCTAATCTAATAAAGAAATCCTAAGTAATCTAAGGGTAATATATCAAATATCTGAGATTACTTTAAGAATATTTAGAATTATCTATAAATTATTTGATATATTATTCTTAGATTACTTAGAATTTCCTATTAGATTACCTAAAATTATCTGAGAATGTTAAAGATTTAGATTTACGAATTACTTTGGATTACCCAAAATTTCGTTTGGATTGCCACTGAATTCTTATAGCTCTTGTACAAAAATTACCTCCATGACCAACTCCCCGATTTATTTTTAGTATCATTTGGAGATTTTCTGTCTTCTAAAAGAGAGAGAGAGAACATTTATTTACCGTCAATTACTTTGGCATTAAATTTATGATTCGGAGATATTTTGTTTTTAATGTTTTTATCACAGTGAAATATTTTCCCGTTCAAAATTTCTCATATATGTTACATATGTTTATATGAGGTAATCATTCTGAGAATCAAATCGATATCTTTTGCTTGATTATTTAACGTATGCTCTAGTAGTGAATTATTCAAAGCAATTCTTTACATTCTTTTTTATGGATAAATTTTTAACCATTAAACATTTTATCATATTTTATTAGAAAGTTGTTTTACTGTTTAAATATGTATTTTGATATTAAGAGGATCTTAATAAAATATATCAAATGACATATTTTTAGGTGGCGGCCCACCATGCTTCACTGGATCAGGTCCGATTCAACTATGGCAATTTTTGCTAGAGCTTTTAACTGACAAAGCGTGTCAAGGTTTCATTTCGTGGACCGGCGACGGCTGGGAATTCAAACTGACCGATCCGGACGAGGTTGCACGCCGCTGGGGTATTCGCAAGAACAAACCCAAGATGAACTACGAGAAGTTGAGCCGAGGCTTACGCTATTATTACGATAAGAATATTATACATAAAACTGCTGGCAAGCGATACGTATATCGCTTTGTATGCGACTTACAAAGTCTACTAGGGTAATTATAAACACATATATATTGCAATTGTTTTAAATAAACTTTTAAATAAACTTTTAAGCAAAAATTTTAAATAAACTTTATACATTGACAAATTTAAGCACATCATTCTTGCTAAATGACGTATTTTAATTTACTTTTTATATTTTTACAATTTTAAAATAACATTCAATATATTAATTTTCATTTAAAATTGAAGATATAATATTAATTATTATATTTTTTTTTCTATTCTTACAGATACAGTCCTGATGAGATACACGCAATGGTAGACTTGAAGCCGGAGAAGAAGGAAGAAGACTGAGTTTTTTGTTAATGAACATGTGTTTTAGGACTGTATCACACAGATAAACGAAATGTAATAATACAAATTCTCGCATTGAACATGCAAGAACGAAGGAAAATGTAAGGACGAAGTATCCGTACGATGAAATCGCTATGAAATAAGTATATTCAGATGCAGAAGACTGTGATAGTCCGTCTTCTTTATTCAGATATGAACAAAAATCGAATCGGTCGTATGTACCAAAGACAGGGTCTGCATACCATTGGTGCCTAAAGTTGAATAAATCGCGAATTTGTTTTTAAGAGTGATTGATTTATCACAGCAGATTTTAGAGGATATTTATAGGAATAACTCGTCAATTTATACATATATATATATATAAATATATTTTTAATGTTACATGATTTTTCAACGCTATACTAGCGTCAAGATACTTGGTGATGCCGCTAAATTATTTATGTCTCATCATTTTAATATGTGTGTTATATCTCGTTGATAGATGACTCGATATGTGATTGTTATTACAATAATTTTACAATAAACTCATTACAATATGCTATATAGCGAGCTTCTCAATTCGACACTTATGCTTTTTTGAATATGTATAGATTTTAATTTAGAAATTAAATTTAAACTATATATTCTTCCAAGCTCGCTTCTCTAAAAGAAGAAACATATATTTTATATTATTTCTTAATTATTAAATATGTCTAGTATGTGCTCGCGATATATTAAATATATTTAATATGTCCAATTGTAATAAGAACTCTCTGTTACTGATGTAATCCGAAGAAAAAGTGTAAATTGGGAAAAACGTTGCTAATGAAAAGAGTATGCTGTTAATTTTTTATATAATTTTTTTATAAAAATATTTACGGACTTGCTTTTGTTCGCTAAGATACTTTCTTTGAGAAATTGTACATTTATATTTTTAAACACAACGTAAATAAATCATTTATTTAATGAAGAAAAGGAAAGGGGTATGTGCAACCAGTGTTTCATAATAATTAATTGAAATACAGAAAATAAATTAATTTATGTTTTCTTTTAAAATTATTCACATGTATTATTAAAAGAATGTACTTCTATTTTTAGTAAAATTTTTTTTATTATAACAAAATGTTTATGAAATCTTATAAAACATCACAATTATCATGTTTTTACAAAAATTATATACATATTTTTTCCTAAGACATATTTAAATATTTGATAAATTTATTGGGTCAGACTTAAATTATTTTTTTTACTCGTGAAACACTGGGTAATGCAATTGTATCAAATTTATAGCGATATATATTTATAACGATATAGCTACATATGTATGTATCAAGACACGGTAGTGTCTCGCGTGCGTCCGCGATATGATACGGACAGCGAGATAGACAATATCTATATACATGTATATCGCTATAGTTATATATATACATATATATATATAACTATTTTACATAATTTGCGTACATGATTAATGTTTTTATCATTGGAAATATTATATGAATTATAAATGATGCAGATGATTAATAGCATAAATTAACGAATTGAAATACAAGTTATTTACTTCATATTTTCCACGTGTCTTAAATCTAATATATATACATATATAATGTATATATATATATATATATATATGTACGCATTGTATGTATAACTTAAACTATTTTTATATCCGCTGTGTTTGTTAAGTTTCCAAGTACCAAAATAATTTAAACTACAAAATGATAAGAAATACCATGATGTCTCTTTAGATCATAATTAACAGTATACTAATTTCAAAGACCGTTCGCAAGTTTATTATGCGGATTGTTATAGAAAGATATAAAATTGCTAGCGACTTTATCGAGGTCTCCCATTAAAGCTATCAGGATTCTTCGCGGTAATCGTTACGATTAAAGTTTCTCCTAGTTGTGTCGTTCGCCCGAATGTTAAATAAATTATATTAATAAATACTCTTAGCGCATCCCGAACGCGGGGTGAAGGAACCGTGTAAAGCTAATCGAATGTTAATACTAAGTTGTCACGTTCTTGGCACTTGTTATTAAAGAAGAAAGAAAGAGCCATACTTCTTTTTCCAGGATTATATACATAGCATTTTGAAAGAGATGAATACAGGAACTTTTTAGTAGATGCAATAAGAAAAAAAAGAATAAAGAGATTTTTATAAATACATTCGCGATTGATCACCGCTTATTTTTTCCCTCCACTTAACTTTTTTACTAAATTGGAAACAATGAGATTACTTTCGCGTCACTTTTGCACCATGATGCGGAAATCCGATTATGAGATCCATCCGCATTGCAAATCACAACATCGGACCTGTTTGTTCCGTTGGCATTTTAAAGATTATAGTTTATTACGTACACATTTTACATATTTATATATCTAATCTTTTTATGTAGAGAATTTCCATTTATACATATAATATATTCATTTATATATATTATTAGGTCTATCCGGAAAGTATCCGATCTTGTGTTTTCAATGTTTTTCACCCAATTTTCAGTATTTTCTCGAAATTTTCAACATTTTTTAAGGGCAATGCTTACACAACCACGATATCATTTTTTTCTTCCTTCTCGTAGATTTCAGATTAAATTGAATCTCGATCAGTACCATGATGACATAAACTGTGAGAAAATCTGCCGTGCCGCTTGACGGGAGCCAAGCTCATGAAGATTCCTCTAAATGGTGAATACCCGTTTTCTACAATACCCAGGTAATATGCATACAAAGATATATCCATAGAATGGATTCTTTCCGGACACTGGTCAGACTTCATATCAGTATATTCATTTACTACATATTTTCATATATTTGCATTATTATTCTCTTTATATGTATACTAGAATTTCAGAGGATCATTTGCTTTTGTTTGCTGCGCACAGCGTTTTTTAAGCAATCTTTCTGCTGTTGCGCGACAAAGTTTTGGAATGACATACTGCGTATTCCAAATTCGTTGTGCCACATCTCTGCGTGATTTTAAAGACAAACTGTATAGTTATCTGCTAAGTACAAGTTCATAACTTTTTTTGCGTCATATAATTTTGTGCTTGTTGTCTGCTCGTCTATTCTCGCCTTTTTTTTATATTTTATTTTGTTTTTGTCTTTATTATTTTTTTTTTATATTTTTTTTTATATTTCATTTTATCTATTTCCACTATTATTATATTATTTAATTTTGTATAATTTCTTGGCGCTTGAGAGAACTAGTTTCTATGTTTAATAAATATGTTTAATAAATAATATAAATAACGATATTTATCTATCTATCTATCTATATCTTTGTTTTTTAAGGTAATGGGAGAAATGTAAAAAGTGTAGATAAGAAGTGTTGTGATTCTCAACGCCATGATGAAAATTTCTCTTGAAACAAAAAACTGCGTGCTTTCGTTATTCACTTTCTGACTTAGTTTCTCGTTACGGAGCTGCAAGAATAATGCAGAATAACTCAGAACAATCGACTGTGCAAACGTTAATGATGTCAAATATCGCGTCTTTCGAACGATGCGTCATAAAATTGGTATGCTATTTCACACAATTATATTCCTATTATCCGCGAATCGTTTATTATGTATATACTAACGCAAGTAACATAAAAAGTTATATCATTAATACTAAAAAAATAATTTACATAAGAATATACGTTTCTGTTTTTCTGACGTTATTCGTAAATTCTACGCGTTTTCAAATATGGCTATTGCGTTTAAAAAATATTAGATTCTAAATACATTCATTTTAGAATCTATTATCTGCGCAGTTTAATAATTTAAATTATTTAATTAGATATTACATATTTTTAATTTAATTTTCAAATGATATTTTCTGATTTATTTATTACGGCATTAACTGCGTTTTTAATTATCAAATTTTACATTTTAATTCACTGTGTTGTTATAAAAGAAAAGTAGAAATTTTATCTCAGCACAATATCTAATATATGTATGTAATTATCATATTTTTATTAAGTAAATTAAGGAACGAATAATGGCGTAAAACTGGATAAAACATTATAGGTAGCGAATTCTTTGAACGCACACGCCGCGGCAATCGCAATAAGAATTCACGCGACAAAACGCGAAATTCAAGTTATCGATAATGGCGTCGGAATATCGAAAGACATGCTCAAACATATCGCGAAATATAACGCAGAAGCCATAGGCGATCAGCAACAGATATGCGAACTGCTTGAATCAAATAATCTGGCAGATATTCGTCGTTTGGCTGATCGTCTTACGATTACTTCAAGGCATCAACATTCTGAAGAGACGTTCATGAAGGTATTACTTGTAGTTGTTAACGTGTTATTAAATTATTTGGCAATATGAATGAAAATAATTAATATAAAAATATAGAGCACACTCCTGTTGCTCTTGTCATTAAGTATATATTTTTAAATAAAATTGTAAAATCAAGATAAATTAATTTCACATCAATCAATTTATTATTAGTATTTTTAATTATAAACTTATTATTTAAATTAAATATAAATTTAATTTAATTAAGATTTTAAAAGATGGCTATATTATTTGCGATTTTCAAGAGTGATTCTTTTTTATTTATTTTCGTTAAAGGCATTCGAGATGGAATCTTCATTCAATTTGAAGCAAGTAGAGCAGAGACCTTCGTGTGGCACAACGGTGTCCATTTACGGTTTTCACGAAATGCCTCACAAAAAGTGGGACACATCTATCATTTGTTTTCTTATCGCGGCTATAGCTGTTACAAAATTAGAAGTATGATTTAATTTATAGTAGTGGTTATTAATTACGATAATTTATCTCATGATATATTTTTTATATTGATACAATCAGGTATCATTTTCGATTAGAGACGATGAACGGAAGAAGGTTGTTCTGAGAATTGCGAAACCGCACAACTCGATTGAAGTCCTGAGAACACTGGTTGGGAAGGATCTGCCATTGAATCATGTATGGTCGATACAATGCGGTTCTGAACGTAACAGCAATTATCACGGTTATGTGGGATTATCTGATAAAAACGCGATGCAGTGGATATTTTTAAATCACAGACTGATCTATTGCCCTCTCATTCTGAAGTTGATTAAAATTGTTTTCGAAGAGAAGCTAAATTTGTTTTCCGATCAGAAATCTAATGCGCGCGATCCATACGACGAAAATGTGTTTATCTTATTCTTTCTTACGTTCTCACAGAAGGAATTCACGCGCGAAAATGGAAAAATCATGTTTCATGATATGCAAAAGGTATTGAATACTGTTAAAAATTGTGCCTTCCAATGTCTCGCAGATAAAGCTACAGTTTCTGTCATTACTCCTTATTTATGTAAAATGCGGCTTTTAAAACAAATGTATTTAAAAACAGAACAATTTGTTTTTGCCAATGATATCAATAGATGTAAAAATGTTACACCTTCGATGATGAAAAGCAGAATGATTATGTTTGAAAGAAGAAAAATTACGTCAACAATTACATCAAGCAATTATTTCAACAAACAGCATAGAGGTGATAATATTGAAACTGCCAGCTGTTATATACACAAGGAAAATAATGATGTATTAAATAGCATCCGATATCAAATAGATCTTACTTCTGTGAAACGTGCAAACTATGAGAATAAAGCTATGAAAAAGATGCATAATGACATTTATAAAACGCAAGGAAATTCCATGAATTTTGACATAGCAAATAATTCTATTAAACCTAATACAATTTATTGTGATAGCAATAACAATAATCATACTATAAACATGATTTCTCCTCTTTCCGAATGGTCGAATTGGACTTATTATACAAATAATAAGAAGCGCGATACTACGAGAAATATATTTCCCGAAAATGATGAACATTTTCGACAGTTTTTTGAACGTAACAATAATCAATTTGATTTCCTACCACGAAAACTGTACGGTCTTCTACAGCATCATCATGTTAAATTGACAAACGTAAAGTGCTTTAACAGTCCTAATGATACGATTCCGTGTAAGTAATTTGTAACTTTTAGATAGAATATTATGATAAATGATTATTATATAACTCAGTTTGATATTTTGAATTTATAGTCGTAGAAAATTGTCAACATGAGCAAATAGCAGTGCATCCTTGTAAGTTGAAGCAAAAATTATGCGAATTTAGACTGTCACAAGCATCATTAAAGTGCATAAAAGTACGTACACAAATTTCAAAACAATAAACTATCTCAAAAGAAGCTATCTTGATAAATATATTTTTTTGTAGATTATTAATCAAGTTAATAACGAATTTATCGCCGCGTGGATGATGTGGAATGAAATGAAAATTTTATTAATGATCGATCAACATGCCATCCATGAAAGAATACGTTATGAAAATTTACTTCTTAGTAAATAATTATAATACTTTTTTCTGATAGAGATAATATTTCTTTTTAACTGAATAGTTTATTTAAAACTTTGAATAGTTTATTTAAAAATTATATTATAAAAATTATAAATAAAATATTAAATTAATTTTTTAATTAAATAAATATAAAATTATACGTAATACTGCGCTGAATCTTCTTGTAAAAATTGCTCTTTCCTGGTGCGGTAAAAAAATTATGTATATATATACACACACACATATATATATTAGGTGCGCAACTAAGTTCTCGCTGTTATTTTGATAGTATTTTCGTGAAAATAACAGCGAGAACTTAGTTGCGCATCTAATATATATATAATGTGTGTGTGTGTGTATATATATATATATATATATATATATATATATAGTAATTATTATATTAAAGATTTACTACGTCAAAGATGATTGTTTTGAAATGTTTCAAATTTATCTATAACTATTATTTTAAAAACTTTCTTTTTCTTTTATTAACTTTGGAACTTTTTTAGGTGCTATTAAATTCGGCGATAAGCTAACTTTGGAGGAATGTACGAATCTTATACAATTATTGAAGAATACGAAGTTCCCCAATCGATGCGCCCACGGACGACCGACTATAATACCAGTGATAGAATTTTCGGAATTAGGAAAAAGGAGGACTAGGATACCTAAGGTAAGCATTAAAATTTTTCCTTTCTGATTTTATTGTAGGAAATATAAATTTAAATGATCCATGAGAAAAATACTGACCTCACTTGTTTTCTTTTTCACGAATACAAGTTTGTACATAAATGAAAGCACAAAATTCGCCTTAAAATATCATGCTGCATAAATATGTGTGTGTGTGTGTGTGTGTGTGTGTGTGTGTGTGCGTGCGTGTGTGTGTGGGTGGGTGGGTGTGGGTGTGTGTGTGTATCAAACTAAAAGCGATATGAAAACATACAAATTTTGTTTGTTTTATGACATAAGATTAATTTTGACATAAGATTTGTCTGAATGTTTTTCTTAGAAATACTACTGAAATTTTTAATCATACAATTTATAAAAAATCTTAAAAAAGCTTTAATTCGGACTTCATCATGCGACAAAGCCGGCGATCAGAATATCTTTGCCGAAATAGTTAAATCTGGTAGAAACGAGATTGACATCTTTTCCGCCCAATGATATCGGACAAACGTCGTTCGGACGCAAGTAGAAGCATACTGTGTAAAGAGCCATTTCTAATTCGGGTGAAAGACCGACGAGTAGGGTCGTAATTGAATGTTTCGTGTCAGGTATATTGAATGCCGAACGTATCTTGATAGCTTCTGCCTTCTGTGAAGATAAAGAAATTATGTAATAAACACGTAGAATAAAGTCAAATACGTGAGCGTTACTTACGTCCGCTAGTTTGATATCCTTTATGTATCCGCGATAATCGAGATTCTTCTGCGTTTCTTGTTTGGCAAAGTAAATCCAATTTTGTGGCCCAATCATGTAGGAATCGAGCTTCTCTGCGAGGAACACTGCCTCAAAGCCAGAACTAGACGGCTCTCCTTCAACTCGTTGGAATTGTGAGAACCAAATACGTTTCAGAGTGTCTTTAAACTCGTACTCATCATTTGGAATAAATCCCTTTTCGGCCAGGTACTTCATTGCCGTTTTAAATACATCAGTTTCCATGAAGTTGTCGAGCAACTCCGTTTCCTCCTTACGCTCGTCTGGCGTGACAGTTTCTTTCGTTTTAACATCTATCGCGTAATTATCGTGCAACGCTAGCACACTTTTAATCGTCGGGATTTCATACGCTTCCGGTTTGACGTCGAGTAGGCTGAAATTACATCAAGACAAGGTCAATGAAACTCTTAATGCGCGGAATTATTTTATTCAATTATTTTCTCCAAGATGAGGATAGCGGTTCTAACTACTTACGGCAGAGGAGCGTCATCCGCGGTACTATCTTCCTTCGTCTCACCCTGCAGATTTACAGTGATGTATTTATATGCATTGTTCTTATCCGCCTCAAAAAGACTTTCCGACAGTTTCTTTACTTCGTCGTTAGAGATCGGATAATTCGGTTGAGTCGGACTGCTTGCTTGCTGAGGGCTGGGTGAATTAGCATTGCTAGGTGCGTTAGCTTCAGCCTTTTTATCCGCTTCCGGTGGCGGCTGAACCGGCGTCGCAGAGCTAGGTGGATTGGAGGCGGCAGCGGCGGCGGCAGGAGCACCGTTATTATTCGCAGGCGCAGCCGGTGCTTCTCCATTAGTCGGATTCGACTGATTGTAATAATAATTATTGTATGTAATCTCGGTGCGGCTACCACCACCGGCACCGTCGCTGTTGCTGTATCCCGGACTTCTGCCATAGATGCCACCTGGTAACAATCTGTTCACAGCCGCGCTCACGCCTGCGCTCACACTGGAGTAAACCAACGCTTCCTTGGCCAGCTGGCCGATACCAGGTCGGCTTGGTTGCAGGACGGTGAGTGCCGGCGCTTGTGCGATAGCCGGTTGAACGTAGGATGGCTGGGCGTAGGACGGTTGACCGAACGATTGTTGTCCACCGAAACCGCCGTAGGACTGCCCACCGTATGGACTGTAGGCTGGTGGCGCGTTATGGTGCATAGACGGATTGTAAGCCTGGCCATACGGTGAGTGCCCACCGTAACCGGGATACGAAGGATTGGCATTGTAGGACGGGTAGCCTTGGTTGTAACCCGTGCCGCCATAAGGATTGCTGGCGGGCTGCCGAGGATATCCGCCTAGAAATCGTGGAAAAATTAGAATTATAAATTCTATGAAAATTACAATCTTTATGCAATTATACGAAGAGACCCACGCAGCATAGATCCTCAAAGGGACACCCTGAAGATGTCTCTATGTCTTAGGAATGTTTCCAGGACATTAAATAAAAAGTGTTTCCCTTAAATAAAAAGTGCTGTTCGGGAATTGATATTTTATAAGGGAGACTTTAAACCTTAATACAGATGAGATTTTAAATCTTAAATCAAGATTTTACGAAGAGAAATATTACAACTTTAACTTCAAAAATATTTTATTAGATATATAATTTTAGCAATTTTAATAGCTCCCATATTGTAAATGCAAAAAGATGTAGAGATTTTATTCTGGAGTGTCTTATTGAGATTTAAACTGTTGATACTTTAATTTCATTTCCTATTTTAAGCTATGAAAGAACAATTAATATACCCGATGGAGTATACGGTGGTGCATTCGCAGCCGGATATCCTGATTGCACATTCGTCGCGCTAGTCTTGGAAGCTTGTTCAGATACTGGAGGTTTGACATTGTTGGTCCCGGAACTCCCGGATGCTTTATTGTTAGCGTTCTGTGGTACGTTCCATCCTATTTTACTCGGATTTGAGCCTACATAACGGGGTTCGTAATGTTATTAGAGACGAATGAAACATACGAAGCCGTAGAAGGTTATTACCTATATGAAGCAGTGACTCATCGAATTTGTAAGAGATCTGATGCGTAGATACATAACATTTGTAAATCACGGCGCAATTTCACGTTAAGTATCTTAATCTAGTATCGATAATCTTTTACGATTATAGCTTTTCGGCAATATAGTTTTCTTTTTTCATTGCTAACTCTATATATATATATATATATAAAATCGCTTTTTTAGAGCTTTATTAACTTATTATTTTTGTAAGCGCTGAATGTTTGAGATATTACATACCTGTTTGTGAGGGTCGTTGAGTTGTCCTTTGAGAAGTACCTCGCCGAGAGCTTCGATAGGAGGAGGAACCCCATCCACTACTACCGCTCCTCCGTCCGCTGGTTTTACGACCATCTGTATCCGCTATAAGCACAATGTCATACATGCAATTTATTATATGCAATGACTTCAATATTTAACTACATATCTTTCGTCTCATTGTCAGTTATGATTAATCATTACTATACATAATTCGATTTCCTTTTCGTATATCAGTACTTAAATATTAAAAATTAAATCGACATTTATGCGATTTGATCATGAAGAGAAATTTTTGAGAGTGTGTGTGTGTGTGTGTGTGTGTGTGTATGTGTGTGTGTGTACTGAGAAGAATTATAACTTATTGTTAGAGATAACTTATTGTAACTTAGAATAAGAGAAACGAAATATAGCTAACGATAGAGTTTTCGTAATTTAAATTTATGCACAGATATATGCAAACAAATTTTATAGTATTATAAAACTTCAGAATATTCTCAATTATTTTCTATTGTGAAAATTATTAAAAGTAGAATCATATTAGAATGAATTGATGAGATGTTAGATAGATTTCTGCGTCATAAAACACGTTGATTGAGTGCTTATTAAGCTATCTGTATAGAACTTGGTGTCCTCTTTTATTTCTCGCGATTCGACACCGGTACAGATTGCCAAGCCTATTGTTCTTCAACAGATTATTATATAATGTAGCGGCAATTGCCTGTTCACTCATTGGCTCAATATTATGTATTACGATGAATACCTTTGAGAATTCGTGCGCACATTATACAAGAGAGAAAGATAAAGATATATTCAAAATCAAGTCCATTTACATTTTTTTAAATTCTCTCGGTAATGAAAACGATAATTTTTATTAATAATTATTTCGATATCGATACAGTTTTACAATCATATATATATATATATGATGTTATGATGATATGTCGTTTTTAAGTTTATATGTAATTTTTTGCAATCCTTCTGAAAAAGTTACTATAATCATAAGAGAAAATTTCTACTTTTTTTTTTATTGTTTATGCAACATTAAATTTGACAAACGCATAAAACTTAAAACAGTTAAAACAGTTTCCGTACGCGACTTTCGATGAAAATCTTCAATTTAGTATCATAAACGCAGTAATACAATTATGGTAAACGCTGTCAAGTGAATAATACCATATGAGGAGCACATTGATGGCATGACGTACGAGTAAGATGGAAGAGCAATTTACTCTGCTGATTTCACTTATTACGCAGTCTATATTTGTTAGTCAATTTATCAACATTATACGTAAATCTTACGTGGCTTTAGAATGCTTCCTCCATTCTTTTACTAATTAAACAGCTGATCCATTATCCATACATTTTATTTTCTTATATATTTTCAAAGATGCTTCGCAAGATTTTGAAATGTAGAACAAATTAAAAATTATCAATTTTATGAGTCATAAAAATACAACATATGTTCAATTTACGTTATTCTCTTTATAATACATATAATACATATATCATAGTTTTTTTTACTTTATAAATGCACAAGTCAAACATGTTTATTAATGAATTAAACATATCCTTTATCATTTTTTTAAATGATGAAATAACTAGTTTTTTTTAATTCACATTTGTATTGCACACAAGAGATTTTCTGACTAAATTATGTTTCTAGGCACAATTGTTAGTAATTCGTGAGCTATAAATTAGTTTAGTAATTCGTGAATTACAGATAGTTAGAAGTGAATGAGTTTCCGCAAACTTCCGTGCTCCCGTGTTAACACGTAACTTGATTTCAAGGAAAATTTACTTAAACAGATTTTTTATTTGGAGCGTCGTCATCAATTAATTTTCTGTAAAATTTCAACAAAATTTTTTTACTAAAACTTGATTCTCGATTAATTAAAATATTATTTCATTGTTAGAGCATTTCACAATAGATTTTGAAAGCATATTCTAAAGTTTAATCAAATTTAAGCTGATTATTAAGATAATTATCGACCTTTAATACTTTTGAGGCTTCCGTGATTTTCCATAATAGAAGCTTTGTATTTCACGTGCTTATCTCCGTTTATTTTTATTCTTGAGAAATACCAAAGTTTCGTAAACTACTTCTCACTCTGATGAAGTGAACTGGAATGTCCACAAAATGTTGGCATTCTAAGAATAGATATACACACGGAGATAATTCGCAAAACGCATAGCTTCTAAATATCAAATTTTCTGTAAAAGCTCAACAAAATTATTTTAATACAAATTGATTAAGCGAAGAACTTATTAATGCACTTGATACAAATTTATAAAAGCATCTTGTATATATCTGATGATATTTTTCATATGTAAACTTCATCTATTACTTTAATAATTATAATTAAATCTTTAATAATTATAATCTATCAATATCTGTTTAAAAATAACATGTGCCATTACCGAAAATAAATAAAATCACAATCACGGTGATCAGGCACGTCCTGATTCTCATATTCGTTATTGCCCGCTTCACTTTTGCCGAATTGTTGTCTCAATCAGTTCGAAACTCGAAAAGATCTGTGATACGCACTGTTTGCTCACGCAGTCGACAGACTACTACTACCATTCGATCTCATGCTGAACGGCCTAGACGTTGGTGACCATCGCCCGTAACATTGAATGATTCATACTTCGCAGGCTTTCTCTTTCCACTGACCCTATACATCTGTAACAGAACTGTAATTGGTCGAGTTATTCGATTCAACGCGTTATTCTCAGTTTAAAACATTAAATTAATAATATTTCATTTATTAATACAATTTTTTTAAACATTTATTAAAATTGTATAAAACCTAGATTATATTAAAAGATATTCAAAGAAAGCCATATATGTACGGTATTTTCTAGATTTCTCGCGCTTTCTCTACAATTTTTTTAGACAATTTCAAATCGATCTCTCTTTAATAAAAACTTATGATATTTTGTTTTTGCTCATTTTTTTACAAGATTTATTTATTAAAAATCTTTTTTTGTAACATAAAATCTCAAAATAATGTGTTTTTGAAATGAGATTCATTAAATTTAATATTACTTGGAAACATTGCTTTGTATAAAAATATATTTTACTAATTAATATTATATTATATTATATATTATATTACAAATTTCAGAAAAAATTGAACTTTGCGTCCTTGAAGAGAACATCACTGAAGTAAAAGGAAAACAATCGTATTTTTCAATTACTTGTTTACAACACTTACGTATTTTTAAAATTACAATTATTCTCAAATTCTACATACATATATAATGACAAAGAGAAATATTGTTTATTTAATTTTAAATATTATAATATTATTTTTTATCATATAAGAATAAGATAAGAAAAAAAATTATGTTTATTATAAGACCGCAAAAATTTTCCAAATAAGTTGCAATACATATATTTCTTATTATTGTAACAAGATTTATCGCATTACGTGAATAAAAATTTGAAAAAAGTAATTTATATATTTCAATCACACATTCTTACATTTGATATTGCTGTTAAAATACGCTCAAACTGTGTATTTTAATAATTTACATTATCACGTCCGAAAATTTATTCATATGATACAAAATTAGAAAACAGGAAGCGCAAGATCTATAAGATCTTGCCCATAATATCTAAATGAATGCGTGTAAATATTAAACTTGTTTCCGCCAAGTGAAACGGGACATAAATTATTCGGCCTGGTATAAAAACATATCATGTACAAAGCCATTTCAAGTTCGGGAAGCGTGCCCACGAATATCGTTGCGTTTGGTCTAACAATATCATCCATTTGGAAGTTCAATTTCACCAATGAGGCTCTCTGCAAAAAACAAATAATTGTTTAAATAATTATAACCAATTTTAATAAATGTACAATATACTTTTATATTCTTTTCGTGCATAACATTAAGACACGATAAGATAATATATATTTTACATACATTGTACATCTATAGATGTAATATAATATGACTTACGTCGCCAAGCTTCATAGTATCAACGTATCCCATGTAATCAATACGATTCTTCGATTCCTGATAATTAAAATAAATCCAGTCCTGTACTCCAAGAAGCTCCGTACCATATCTTTCAGATGTGAACACTCGCTCAAAACCTGATGTAGCACCATTAAACGTGTTGAACCAGATACGCCGCAAAGTGTCTTTCTCGAAGTCATAGGGATTGATGAAACCTTGATCTGATAACCATCGCAGAGTTCTAGTCATCACATTCGTATTCACAAACATGTCTAACAGAAACTCCTCTCTCTTTCGCTTTTCTGCTGTACGAGTTTCTTTTACAGTAGAATTGTGTTCGTAATTGTCGTACAGAGCTCGAATAGCTAAGATCGTTGGATAATTATATGCTTCTTCTTGCACGTAAATTAATCTAGAAACGTATAATGTGTAAATAAGGCAAGAATAATCATTGTGATTGATTTAAATATAAAACCTACGGTCCCTTAGCTGCATCGGTTACGTTTTCAGATTTACTCTGCAGATGTAACGTCAAATACTTGGATATGTTAACTTCTTGTTTCACGAATAACTCTTCGGTCAACATTAATAGATCGTCATCTGATATTTTATATTGCGGAGAATAAATAGCTGTTCCTTGATTGGGCATTCCTTGATTATTCCCTATATTGCTAGTAGAAACTGAAGGAGTTTCCACTTTGTTAGCTGTGTTTATGGAAGAATTGCCAACCGGATATATTGTGCTACCATTGCTGACAATTGTAGGAATTGATACACCCGGAGTAATAATTGGATTGTTTATAGGATTTGAATTGACAGGAGATACAATAGGAACATTTCCTTGAAGTGTATTTGATGAAGCCGGAGAAATACTACCCGGAGGAACTGTATTAAAATAATGATTATTATAAGTTATATGCGTTTCACTGGTACCACTACTTGGACTGGTACCACTATTTGGACTACTATAACTCTGCACGTAATGTTGATGCGGATTTATCAGCCTATTTACACCGGCGTTGATTGTGGAGAACACAAGTGCTTCTTTCACCATCTGACCAAAGCCTCTGCCGCTGTCTTGTTGACCAGGAACCATTATGACCGTTTGTCCAGGTATATATGGTTGCGCTGCCGGCTGCGCCAGAACATGTTGTTGAGGATAATAAGTGTGTCCAGCTGTGCCATACATTCCGCCAACGGGGTGTGTAGAATATGGATTTCCGAATGTACCTGGTACGGGTGGCGGAATATGCGCTGGATAACTGGAAGGATGTCCAAATGATTGACCGGGAAAAGAGTAACTGGGATTGTGCGAGGAAGGTACATGAGGTTGATTCGAATGACTGAAGGGATGACTGGTATATGAAGGAGAATTGAAACCAGAAGTAGGATAAGGAGGATGCGGGTAAGGTGGAATCGGCATCGAAGTTGGACGCAGATGATCTTTGAAGCCGATGTTAGTAGAAGTGGGACCTGATGGGTGAGATTGGATCGGATTGAAATGAGGATTGCTCCATGGAGGATTATTAAGTGCAGTTCCTTGTGATGGATTATAAGGCGCGCTTGGTTGGCCAAAAGAAGTTGGAACTGCAAGAAGATTATATACATCTGCTAATTTTTAATTATGTTTAAATTGTTTATATTTGGTAAAATATTTATTCTTTAGTTTACGTTAACTTTCTGTCATAATGAGTAATAATTGACAAATATTATTTCTTAAATTTCAAGAATTTAAATGCATAAATTTAATAAAAATGATAAAAAGTATATACCATGATTTTGCGATGGTACAACAATGGATTTCGACAAATGATTAGTCGACGGTGCTGATGGACTATATGGATTATACGGTGCTGATGGATTATATGGTGCAGAATTTTGTTTACTTTCTGTTATAAAGCCTGTTGTTCCATGACTCCCAGGATAAGTTCCTAACAGAAAAAGAATATATTACTTTTTATATAATAGAAAAAAACAAACGAGTGAAAACAGATGAGAAATAATATCTCAGCTAATATAACATTTGAAAATTCTTTCTTTCTAATAATATATTCTAACTGTAAATAACAAGAGTTAATGCTAATAATACCTATATTGCCATGTGGTGCTGATGGTCGACTAGATTGCCCGGAATTAGTTTGAGCTTTATAGAAACAAAAATATTCATATTAAATTCAATAAAAAATAAATGGTCCGGTAAAAAATAGAATGGAAAAATTACAGGGTCGTGTGGCGCCTCCTCCTTCAGCTTGTAAAAACGTTGAAGATGCATCTTTTTGTTGATGCGAAGTTTGACCTACAATAAGAGTAAAAGATATAATTCTGTTATAACCACAGAAAGATTGGAATAAATAATACCTCGTCTTTCAAAATAACCATATCATATACTGACTCGACGTAGTTCTAGTTGGGTTTGATCCTGTGTGTCCTCCCGATGAACTTCCATGTCCAAAAGAGCTTGATCCTGTCATGTGTCCACCTGATGAGCTTCCGAATCCGTAATGTCTTGATCCCGTTGTGTGACTACCTGATGAACTTTCATGTCTAGAACTGGAGCTTGAACCATGTCTAGACGAAGAATATGAACTTCGTGATGACGAACTTCGTGATGACGAGCTTCGCGAGGATCCAGATCTTCCTGCACTTACATCATCTGAAAATAAAGGTTTAATAAATCCAAGCAAAATTCTTTTTCGTTGACGTATTAAAAAGTTGACTTAACATAGATAAAAAATTATTAGATAATCAAAAGTTACTTAAAATATTATCAATATAATAATGTAACACTTATATAAAAGTTTAATTTGTGTAATGTTACATCCAAAAAAATGATTTATATATAATAATATATAAAGTAATTTTATAAAAAATTTTATTGCGTACTCACTGGCTAAAAGAAACGTTAAGAGAAAGAGAAATAGCAAAATTCGGACCTTCATCTCTATTATATGGAGATGATAGTCTTACACTAATTTGAGGATACTGGCGTGCTCGAAGGCTATAAGATGATAAATACATATATATATTTTTTTATGTTTATCAGTCTTCTTAGTAATTGCGTCTTTCTTAGTAACGATATAGGCACGTTGAAAGATTACGTTATTGACCTGTTGACCACTCACTAATACAATTAAATGCTTTTAGTATAATTACAGCTGATAAACATTCATATCATGGAATTACCATTTTATATTTAAGCGTCAGCATCTTCTATTTCTACGAAAAGATTACAAAAAATCAGTTTCGTTACTTGTACAAAATTTTTAATTGAATTGAGAACTTTGTGTAATGTTAGATTTTTATAATAAAATTTAATTCAATTTGATAATGAATATAAAGACACACATGTTATATGGCATTTAATTCCATACAATTTGATGCAAAAAGTAAAGTTTATTTCCGCAAAACTATGAGAACATTTTTATTTGCATATTTACATATTTTTATTTAGATGCCTTGTTTCACTTAAGTCTAAAGAATTAATTTTCTTTACAATTAATTTTCTTTACAATTAGCATTCCAGCACAATATCTAGGGGGAGTTTTTGATCATATAATATAATTGAACTATTTTTTAAATACTCATTCAAATTTTGGGCCTTTTAGCGGTTACATGTGTCTACCAGATAAACTTCCATGGCCAGTTAAGCCTAACCCCGTCGTGTGTCCACCTGATGAACTTCCGAATCCGTAATGTCTTGATCCCGTTGTATGACTGCCTGACGAGCTTCTATAATTCAATTTAGAAGTGGACCTTGAACTGGATCTAAAAAGTTTTGACAAAAAGGAATCTAGTGATGATGAACCTCTCTGAGAAGAAAATTGAATACTTCGCGAGATTTCAAGTTTTCTCAATTTTCCTGCATTTACATAGTCTGAAAATAAAGATTAAGGTCTAATAAATCCAAGCAAAATTATTTATTTTTGCTGACATATTAAAAAGTTAATTTAAGGTAGATAAAAAATTATTAAATAATCAAAAATTACTTAAAATATTAGGTGTTGGAATTAATTCGTAGCGTTTTACAAGTGATGGGAAGTACTTTCATTAATGTATTTTTTAATGCTCATGTGAAATAAATAACATTCTTTCATTAAAAAACGCTACGAATTAATTCCAACACCTAATATTATCAATATAATAATGTAAAAGTTTAATTTGGGTAATGTTAAAAAAAAGATGTATATGTAATAATATAAAATAGTTTATAAAATTTTATTGCGTATATACTTACTGGCTAAAAGAAACGTTAAAAGAAAGAAGAGTAGCAAAATTCGGACCTTCATCTCTATTATATGGAAACGATAGTCTTATACTAATTTGAGGACACTGGCATGCTCGATGGCTATAAGATGATAAATACATGTACATTTTTTTTACGTTTATCAATCTTTTTAGTAATTGCGTTTTTCTTGGTAATGACATAGACACGTTAAAAAATTACGTTGTTATAACAGAATTATCATTTCATGTCTAAGCATCAGTATCTTTTATTTCTAGAAAATTACAAAAAATCAGTTTTCTACTCATATAAAATTTGCAACTGAATTGAGAACTTTATGTAATGCTAGATTTTTATGTAATAAAATTTAATTTTATAAGGAATATAAAGACATACATTTTATATGGCATTTAATTCCATATAATTTGATATAAAAAGTAAAATTTGTTATCGCAAAACTAGAACATTTTTTATTTATATATTTACATGTTTTTATTTAGATGTCTTGTTTCATTTAAGTTTTAAGTATTAATCTCTTTACAATTAGTATTCTAGGAAATCTGAGAGATTTGATCAAATAATACAGTTGAACTATTTCATATACTTGTTCCAATTTTGTGGTTATCGGTTGCTATTACAGTGATGATAGGAAGACAAGGTATTATATCATATCCGAGGATGCGCAATAGAAGAATGAATTGTGGCCAAAATTTGATTGGCTATTCCAATATGCCAGTGCTATTATATGCAGGAAAGTGCACAGAGGCCAAAATTTGATTAGTTGTTTCCAGAATTGTTATCGTCGTGCAATAGTACACCTTGTATTCTTACATCATTACAGCTATAATGTCATATGACATGACCCGCATGTCGGCTAAACAACTTGGGGCAAAATTTGAACGAAACATTTAAACTGATTTAACTCTCCTGTATGGTCAAGTCTTCCGGACTCCTCCTACAATAATATTATTAAATTACAAATATAACGGTAGAAGTAATTTTTTACGCGTCATCTGTTGATTCTTTTTTAATATATTTATTTAAAATTTCTTCGCTCGGATAATCTGGAACTGAGAGTTGCCGAAATCCTTCATCGTCTACGAAGCAGATCTCATGCCCATCCTGGAAAACAGTCACAATGAAATTTGTAAAATGCAACTGTACTTTTAAGCATTTTATTTTAAATATTGCAAAATACTTACTGGATCAGCAAGAATAATAACTCTTACAGAAGCTTTTCCTGGTGTATCTAAAGTTATCAAATCAGTCAAGATTTTATTTCCACTTTCTTTAATAGCTTTCTGAATCGCTGGTTGCTCTGAAAACGGTACTGAGAAAGCGATACGTCCATATGATTTTGCGTGATTAACTTCAGTACCTAATATACAAAATTTATTAGTAACAAATCATATTAAATACTTAATCACAATAATTACAAATTTAATAAAAAGTTAACATAAATTAAATATTATGTGTATATTCACCAATATCTTCAAATTCAAGTTTGGCTTGATCTTCACTATAGCCCATCAACACACTTTTATCTTTTCTATCAAATATTTGTAATCCCAAAATATCCTTCCAATAGGCAATGGTACGTTCAAGATTGGAGCTGAATAGAGTAACTTTCTCTACTGGATCTATTCAAAACAGCCAATATATTTAAAAAAATAATAGTTTGCTAAAAATGTGATATTATAATTTTTTTTTTCATGACCATTTTATTTCTTTATTCGATAAATTATTATTACTGTAATATCATAAACTGATTTATGTAATTTTAACTTCAAAGTGATTGTTGCGTCAATATTGTTAAAAATAGATTGATTGATTTTATATTTACCACTGTTAGTAGAAGGTTGTTCATTAACAATGCAATATTTATATCCACCAGGTGCCTGTACTACAAATTTTCCATTTTCTTCATGTATTGGCCAATTATTTGCGCGTGCTTTTTCGATCACATCCTTCGAACGTATAGTGATAGCTTTAAAATCATTTCCAGTTTGGTATTCTTTAATCCCATAATTATATGTCAACTCAATAACAAAATGTGTATCCTCGGGACCATATCCTATCATTGTTTTGCTCCAACGATTTGCATATGGACTGTAAAAGAAATGTATTTACAATGTTACAAATTTTAAATAAATGTTTTTTATAATGTTTTATATAAATAAGGAATGTGATGCATTTGATACTAACAAAAAAAGATATAGCATAAAATATAAATACAAAAAAATATAATACAAAATAAATTGTATTGTAAATAACATTGTAGATTATGTTAGATTAGTTCTGAATGTATAAATATCAACAGGTTGAAAGGAGCCATTTAATATTAGAAGAATTTAAAAGCAAATACATCACATATAATTGTAAAAAAATATAAATCAATAAATATATGTATTTATGTTACATTTTTATATTATATTATAATATAATAATTAATATAAAAGTACAAATTCTCTTTTTTCATTGTTTCAAGCATAGAAAATAAATAGTAAACGCATTGTCAAGAAATTATTGCACAATGACAAGTCACGAGTGATTACTCACCCATTACACGCGGCCTCGCATCCATCTGAAAATTCCTCGTGTCTCAACACCTGCAGAGACACATAATCCAACAATCAACAAATTAAATCGCGTGACAAACAAGAAAAAAAAAGAAACCTGTAGTTACCTTCATCCCGAGAATCTCTCGATAAAACTTCGCCGTTAAACCGCGATCCGGTATCTTGAATACAAAATGCAACGCACGTCCAGCAATCATTTTTCTCGAAAGTCGTATTCCTTTGATGTAACCGATAATCACGATTAATCACAATCTGAATCGACAGATTCAAAAGTAGAAAATACGTTTCAAAAGTAGAATCAATAGAGAGTAATGGAAAGAAAAAGAGGAGGAGTAAACATACACTCAAGGATCGGCTGCTCCTATTTGTTCCTACTCGAGATGGATCACGTCTAATTTAATTTTTAATGGATTACCTTACTTCTTTTTTTTTATTTTAATTAAAACCGCAACGTAGAAGCAACGAAATTATCAGATTAATTTTGACTAACAGATGATGTTAATTCACTCGACCTCGAGACTTTCAGAAACAATTAAGGCGAATTTTCATAACGATTCGGACTGATTCGACATCACTCGGCTTCGTTCGACAAGCAGACGACAAGAAAGGCTCGAAGTCAGATGCTAGAATTTAGATTCTAGAATTCAGATTCTAGAATTTCCCGAAGTATCAAAAAGAAGAGTACACCGGAGCATACGTATTTTGTTATTAAAACACTGTGTGAATCGAGGAAACGTAAATTATTCAGGAATTGTCTTTAATAGATATGATAGAGAATCTTGCAGCGAAATTATGTTTGCTTCTGTCGGAAAACACCAACGCAGGTAACTATCGAGAGATTGTTAATTTATTAAATGATAAAGATGATATTGGAATGTAGCAAGGCTAACTGTTCAGCTTATCTTTATAAAAATATTTTACACATCGTCGTATATATAAAAATAATGACATAAACGATTATATAAAATATTTGGAGCACAACAGATAATTTTCGGTGTTTAATCAACGTAAATAATATTATAAAACTATTTATTAAAAAAAAAAAGATAATTCTTTTGTTTCCTCAGCCGAACAATGGAAGTTACTTGGACAAGAGAAAGACGGTTCGATACTTATTGGATGGGTGGAAGAATCAGAGAGGAACGATGTATGCACATCGTGTACTGTAGTCGGTCGTTACGACCAGATTGACAACAAATTACAGGTGAGAATCATAAGATAAAAGAATCTTTTGTCACATGAGTAATTTTAATATTGATTGGATTATAGGTATTGCATCACTTTTCGAAAGTATTGAACATTGTTCAAGCTACGGTCAACCAAAGTCATACTCTAATGGGATATGTGACGAAACAGAAAAATTGCCTGAAAACATCAGATCCTCTGGAAGATCGCTTCTCAGAGCATGAATTCTATGGAGAATTCTACAGAGTGTTCATTGTAGAATTAACTACTAATGATACCAAAGTACACGATTTGGAAATAAAGAGATCTGAACAAGTGCGAATACAATTTCTATACAGAGAAAAAGAGCAATTGAGTGTAGACAAATTTCTAGTTCTGATACATCACGAATGTGAGTAGAATATATTGTTTTGTTTGTTTTATTATTATTGTAATTTTAAATTACCATTTGTATAAAAATAGAATTTTTTAATATGAAGCTAAAATATTGGAGCATCTATTTTATTTATAATCATTGACATATCTTTGTGTTATTTTAAGGTATTTTGACATATACTGCTCAATTCGATACATCTGTAAGTCACTCAAGACCGATAAAGGAACTGAAATCCGAAATACTTGTAAAAACGTTTATATGGGCTCAATGGGATATGATTAATCAAGTGCTGTACCATATACATCATCGACGAATTCCTACAAGCGTGGTCACTGAAAATGAGGACGAGAATAATTTCAGGTCTTCTAAACCAACCCTCAGTGGTCTTCAATTTCATGATGACTTGCCTCATGAAACAGTGGTGAGCATTTGATAAGAACAACAAGAATATATATCATCTATCCAAATTATTAATCTATGTAACTTTTACTAACTGTCTATTGAATCTACATAATATAGATTATGTGCCAAATTGATTAATACGCCGAATAATTTAAATCTATTTCGTATGCTTGCTAATTAAACTTCGTAGCAAAATGCATAGCGTCGAATTAGCGTAAAACTTATTGTATCTTTTTAGCTGAATATCCCATTAAACTTACCACTACTGTCGCCGTCCTCTAGTTGCGGGACTTACGAAGATGACGTGATACCCCTGCGAGTCCACGATTGTTCCCTAGATCTTATAGTGGTGTCGGACACCAAGGGGATGGTCTGCGTTTGTCACTACTATCTTTATCGACCTGTACAGCCGCCGCAGCATGTACTTAATTCCTTGAATGAATCCAACACAGTGCATTTTGCATACTCGGTGACGCTGCTGCATCACAGTTGCGTGATACATTGTGTTATACCGGGTATATCGTGGTCACGTGCCAAGCTGATGAGGCCGACTTTCGCGATTTATGAGAACCATCATATGATCGTATTCGTGCCGGAACTGTTCGCGCATCTTCTCGAAATCGGCGTGAATCACGAGCCTTGCTGTCACATATTGTGCGGCCCACCACCGTCAATTCCATCTCGTGTCTCTTATCTGGTGCCCCTACTCGATTTAGATAATCCTAGTAAAGAAACAAGAAGGAATTCCCATCACAATAATCCAGATGGCAAGAGTTCAGATGGAAATAGTCTATTCGTAAATTCTAACACGAGCATACTGACGATAGATTTACCTACTTTAGACCTCGTACAGTTGACAATTCCTTCAGATTTTCTTATTGAGATTTTTCGCAAAGAGACCTCTGTGGAAGTTCGCTTGGGAATACTTCATTACTTTCTCTGCCATAAAAATGACATAGAAATTATTGCGGAATTAATGTCCATTATCGCAGAGAAACCACGATCATTGGACATCCCACGTTTTATGCAGGAAATTCTTATAGGAAACTCTTATGCTTTAGTGCAAAAAAATCTTCTTGCGGATACTATTCCTTTACTATCTCTATTGCCCGTTACTACCATAGGCGATTATATGACTTTCAATATAAAGATGAACGATTTGGAGATCACATTGAGTCATGAGAAACTCTGGAACACATCAGTAATGTTACTTTCACCGCAACAAAGGCTCGTTCCTTATCGTAGTGATTTATGGACTAGATTGTGGGATCAGTTGAGCAAAAATGGTAGTGACAAACTGAGATTCAGACCTAGTCATATTGCGGAAAAACTGCTAGTTTCTTTGGCTTGTTATCAACCAGAAGCGTTATCCAGATGCAGTACTCCAATGTCTCCAAGTGGAGGGTAATAACATTTCTCATGCTAATTCCATGTAACTAATTGCATGCTAACGTAAAAGTAATGCAAATTCGCTTTATTTGTTTTCTTCTTAAACAAAGGAATATACACATATTTATCTGTTATTTATTATGTAATCTATATGTATATTATTTATACAATTGCTTATAAAATTAATACAAATTCTTTTTTATATTGTTTCACAGAAATATTTTTTATAATAACCAGATTCATAAATAATAATTTTAATAATAAAAAATAATGTTTAACAGATTTGTTGCAATGCCGCTTGGAGATTTCATGGGTAATCGAAACATCAAGTTGGATTCAGGCTTACCGTTTAATGAGACGGAAAGTTGCACCGCTTCGAAACAGGAGCACATTGTGTCTGTTAATTTGCGAGAGCTTTCGATGTATCTTTTAAAGAATGGCACGCACACGTCAACCATACATACGCGAGGTTCTTGTACCCCGTTACACGTTCATGCCATGGCCACAAGATATGTGGCTGCGCAATTGGAAGCGTCACGTATATTGTGTCAAATACTTTGTAGAACAGCTGGTGTTGATCCGAGAATTGAGCAGGAACGTGGTTTTAGTCTCATGTAAGATCCTATTTTATACAGTATAATTTTATCGCTATATTGATTATGATTTATCTAGTAAATAAATGTAAATTTATAATTTGTACAGTGGCATTCTACAGTATCATTCAATAGTATCTAAATTTAAGCATTTATTTATCTCATAACTGCGAATATAATATTATTTTTGTAGAGATCAATTGGATGAAGCAAGACGATGGTTGTTGTTTATGCTCTTACAGCGATATAGGTACTCCATAGAGAGCATCGCTTTCCCAGCGCCACAGGGATTCGCGTCGTTTTTTACTTACCTTGGCTATCGTACTCTTAAATTCTCAATGTTTCTGCAATATATTGAACGCTCAGTATTTGAACTTCAAGTTGATGTCACTAAGATTATCTTAGCTGGTATATATCCATACAATAAAAAAATTATTGTATCTTTACTACAGTTTTTTAAGTATCTAGATAGGAGATATACATTCTAATATAAACTGATTATCTTTTGTTTAGATATAAGCGATACGAAAGAAAACGTTGTTCAGAAATTGAAGTTGTTATCTTTATTACCAAGATCTCGCGCAAAGAGACTTTTGAATCAATGGTTGCATCCAATTAGTTTAATGTTGCGAGCCAGAGAACACGCCGCTAATATTTTGTGCGGCGAAGTATCCCAGAGTCGAACCAGCAGTCGGACTTTACAACACCGTAATCATCATAACAGTGAGTAAAATATATATTTTAATATTTTAATAAATATAATTTCTATGATGCAAGCATAAATTGTTTTCAGGTTTGGCAGCATTTCCTTCTGCAGATCGTTTGTCACCATTAGACACCTTTTTGGATTTACTTACTGCAAAAGGTGAGATTTAACTGAATGCATTCTCAATACAATTAATTGTGTTATCTTAAAAATATTTTTTTAAATATAATTTTTGTTTTGCAGCTAGTCTTACAGAATTGGATTTCGGGCTATTGATAGAAGCGACAGTAACATCTACGGAGGATTTTCTCTAATGGAAATTGAGTTTAGCTTGTAATCGAAAAATATCTCTTAAATAGTCAATTGATTCAATAATTACTGAATCAATTAGATATAGAAAGCGTTCCATTTGAGCGATTGACTTACAGCAGAGTAATCAATGCTTGGATTTTTGCTGGACCAACAAATCAGAAAATTTTATGTTAAATTAATGAATTAGTGACGCAGGCAGATCTCACTCCAAATTTATATAGAATTTCTATGTATTTGAGGTTGCACTTACAACGTAACTTTTATATAATTCTTAAATCACATCCGTATCTATGAAATTAATTCTTTTAGTTAAGGATCAAAGACTAATTGTAAGAGATATTATACTTATAAATAATTTGTATCTTAAAAAGAATCTCCAAAGTAGCAAGTGCCATGCAAGTTTAGTTACCATTAGTAATTACAAAATTTAATATCAATAAGTGAAAGTAACAAATCTAATTACTTGACAAGCTTAATTAAGTACTGCATATTGCAGATATTTATGACTGCGTTTCGAAAGTTTTTATCTTTCATGCGAATAATTTTCGTCTTGGTGTAGGCCAAAATTAGACAATGAGAAATAATTATTTTAAGCATTATTTATTAGAAAGCGTTCGTGCTATTGTTATTCTCTGCTTTTCATATTTTTATTATTACATTTTTACGCGGATGTGAGAAGCATGAAAGAGACAGGAACTTACATAGTTAAATAAATCGTAATATTAAGTTTTGTTGATTCTCATCTTTTATATGTGATTTGATATTGTCGATTTAGGATGCCTTGGGGAGACATTATTAGTATTATTTTTGTCATTTTATCTTTGTTTTGTGTGTCTAATGAATGATAAAGATAGAATGCAAATATAGTGCTAATAGCATCTCCCCAAATGCACACTTATAGTTTGCCAAAGACATGTGATATAGTGAGTTATGAATATTTGCGACTAACATCTGCATGATGTTTATTATTGATGTATATGTGTATTATACATAAATACAAATTATACATAGGGTAATTATAATTGTCCCAATTACTGTGTCTGTCCCTATTAGTGCTTTTATGTTTCAATAAGTCATAAAGAAAACTAGCATAAATAAGAAAAAATATTTTTTTTTCGTTAAGTTAAATTATTAATGCATATGATACCCCGAAGATATTTTATTTTTTGAGTTTTAAAGTATTTTAAATATTTTTCGAAAGATATGAGGAATTTATGTGAATTCAGTAATACATACCGCAAGATTTTAAGCTTGTCCCTATTAATGTGCCCTGTATTAGAGCTAAGAACGTTGCGTTATGAGTGTACTTTGAAATAAATATAATTGAAATAATGATTTATGTGATATTAACATAAACAATTAGCTTAAATTTATTACCTATTTTAGTAATTAGTAAAATTAGTATTTAGTAAAATTATATGTTAAAATGAGTCAAATGTGGATAGGCACACAAATTGGGATACATTAATAGGGCCATCGCCGCTTAGAGGACTCATTAATAGGGACAAAAACATGTTTTCTATTTTTGTCAAAAGCATTATAAAGTATTAATTTTTTTAAATTAAAGAAATATTATAAGAAAAAGAAGTAGTTGAAAAAAAAGAGGTAGTTGATATTGATTGCAAGCAGATAAAATTAAAGCTACAATATTTAATAATTAATTCAGTAATAAGCAAATTGGCTAAAAGGCACATTAATAGGGATAGTTAGAGGCTCCGCACAATAAAAGGAACAGGGAACAGAGAGAATAGAGAATAGAACCCATCAAAGAATTTCAACCCATCAAAAATCATGTATTGTGGAATACACAGTTTCTGAAATTCTTATTCTCTATTCTCTGTTTCCTGTTCCTTTTATTGTGCAGAGTTCTTTACTCTACATTTGTTATTAAATCTAATATTTTAGAATTAACAAAATATGGTGTCCTTAATTTTACGTATCAGTGAAGAAGATCATAACGTAAAATGTAAACTTTCAATGCTAAGTACAGAATTTATTAATAAATAAAGAATATATTACAGTAAAAAATGAAATATATATTTTTATTGAAATTAGTGTTCAATTCTTAGATCTGTTATCTATATCTATGTGCGCGCGTGCGTGCGTTTGTGCGTGCGTTGTGTGTGTGTGTGTGTGTGCGTGGGTGTGTGGGTGTGTGGGTGTGTGTACTATCTAATGTGCAGAGAGTAAATAATTACTCGTTACTATGTTTTTGGACATATTCTAATATTTACAATAGTTCTCGAATTTTTTTAAGGCTCATACAAAGCGATTTTTTTGAAAAAAAAAAAGTAAAATAAAAATTCATTGTGATATCTCATCCGATGTGTACTATAGTGCAGTTGAGATGCACATAATTTTATTTGTTATAATTTTTTAAAAACCAATTTGCAAAATTGGGCTCTGTATGTGCTTTCATAGCTTTATAAAAAAAAGAAGTAAAAAAAATCTTATATGACACAATATTACTTCTAGGAGATAAAAAATATCAGCATGAAAACATATCTACACCGCGAGGGCATATCATTTTATTTATTAATTTTTATAAGTTTTTAAGAGCGAATTTGTTAAATGAAATTGTAAAATTCAACTCTATGACAGACTCTGTAGCTTTGTAAAATCAAGTCAAAACAAGTTTCATGTCAAAATATTTTTTCTACAAGACAATAGATATGCATCCAATGGCTACGTTTATAGTGGATTCACAATTGAGTGAGTGCTCACTGCTATTGATGTATTCTTTCTAATATGTTGATTGGATAATCTAAAAGAATACACCAATAATAGCGAGCGCTCACTCAATTGTTGAGGTGTTGAACAAAAATAAAAGATACTTGGAGTTGATATAGTCGAGTTTTGGAACGCACCCCTATGTGTATGTGATGATTCTGTTAAAGAACATAACCTCCATTTGCGAGTCAACAAGCTCAAAGTATTTACGAAAAGTATTTAACGATTTACAGCAGATAATAAGAAGCTAAAACGAACGAAAGCGTGAAATGTTTCTGATTGTAAGTTTTATTTATAATAATGATTTTCCCATATTTATAAAATCTTCATTAATTATTTTATTATTGTTTTTATTCATTATCGTCGTATGTACAAACTATAGATTCGTTAACCATGACGGATATCACTTTGACAAGCGAGCAAACGAAGTTTATAGAAGAATGCGAGGAGGAGTTCAAAGACCGATATACAGAGAAGGATGATGATTTCATGAAGATTAAAACACAGGAGCCAAAGAAACCACCAATCGTAGATCCTTGGTATAATAAGCCACGCAGACACGATTGGTCCCGACAAAATCGAAATCAAAATCACGATAGACGTAATCATCACTGGGATCGTCGTAACAATGAAAGAAACGAGAAACTGGAGCGGCATGCTGGTAGACACTTTATACAACATCGGCAAAGGATGTATTAATTTAGCGACGTGGATACAAGAACTCGAATAACATTCTCATACAAATTTTGTCTTATTTAATTATCTATATGTATTGTTTTATTAATAGGTGATATGTATATGAAATATTTATGTATAAGGCACTTGTTTATATATATTTTATTAATAATTGATACATATAAAGTACTTATTTAGTCTACCAAGTATTCGCATTTTAATAACAAATAATAATTTTATAGTTAAAAGTTTTTAGCCCTACTGAACTGTTATACCAGAAGAAGCAATTATAATAATTTGCTTTATTATATACTGAAGTTAAGAAAGTCACAAGAGCATATTTTCCACAGTAAAGGTATGACATTCTCTTGTACAATATGTGTACAAGATGGAAAAGTTTCCAATTGTATAACGTTTGATCTCTTCATAGAATATTTAAGATACAATTACACACACACACACACACACACACATATATATATATATATATATATGTATATATAGAGTGTTTATATTCTTATTATATGTAACATGTAGCTTATACAAATAAATGAACAATTAATACATTAATTCAAATGTTCAGAATAAATATATGAATATTATGTAATTAATTTCCTTTAGATATATTTATATTCCTTGCTTTTGTTCAAGAATAAAATAAATAAAGGTTCAAATTTATATATAAGTCAAGAAAAAAAGCAACAGGTATAACTAAAAAAAAAGTCTTCCTAAATAGCTTTTATGTATTTATTTATTTATATCTTGTTATATTTATTATAGTTTCAAAAATTATTTTAGAAAAGAATTAAATTATGCTATTATTAGGCTATATGTCAATGAGAAATAAGAGTTGGCAGAAGCCGACCAATGAGTTTATTGAACACAATACTGATGCGTTTCGGAACTCCTCAAAGAGAGACCACGTTTCACCTACCTGCTGCTGAATGATTGCACGTACCAAACGATACATGAATATACATTTTCGCCATGTCTGTAATTTAATACATTTATCTACGTTTATCCTTGTGTTTATTCGCCGACTTCGGTAATAAAAATACGATTCATTAAGAGGGAACTCTTCTAGTTGTCTCAAGCGGAATTATGAAGAGTAATCGCGTTGAACTGTACAAACTGTGATTAAAAAAAAAACGATTTTGCAAATATGTGGGCAGATACTATTTTAATTTTGTTTATCAGTATATGCACGGCGTTATTAGGCGAAGGTAAGAGTACAAATGCATCAATAAACATAGAGGAAGAAAAGTAAAATGGTATTTATTTCAATTCAACATGTGTTTACATTTATCGTTTCATTATGCCGTTTAGGGTTGACATGGTTGATGGTATACAGAACCGAAAAATATCAAAAATTGAAGGCCGAGGTTGAAAAGCAAAGCAAAAAGCGTGAGTTTTTCCTGAGTCTGCTCTGTACAACATAAAAATAATGACTATATTACACATGCTTGCTCTTATCTTTTAGTGGAGAAAAGAAAAGAGGCACATGGTGATTCTTTAGACAGACAACAAAAGAAAAAAATTGAACGGGAAGAGGAGAGGTTGAAGAACAACAATCGAGACCTGTCTCTTGTGAAGATGAAGTCTATGTTCGCGATTGGGTTTGCGTTTACGGCGTTATTAAGTATGTTCAATAACATATTTGATGGGCGAGTGGTTGCCAGATTACCGTTTGTCCCGATCAGCTGGATACAAGGCTTGTCGCATAGAAATCTCCCGGGCGATGATTACACGGAGTGCTCGTTCATATTTTTGTACATATTATGTACAATGAGTATTAGACAGGTAAGTCCGGCTTGTCTCAATTGCGTACAAGTGCAAATATCTTTTTGGTACTTCTCTCTTTCTCTCTCTTTCTCTCTCTCATTTCTAGAACATCCAGAAAATGCTTGGCTTCGCGCCATCCCGAACTGCGAGCAAACAGAGCGGTAGTATCTTTGGACCTCCACCTCAGCAATTTAAATAAATTTAAATTTAATAAATTGTTACTGGTATTTTTACAGAGATCTCTTTTATACATCTTATTGTGTGATTCTGAGAATTTATTTGTATCTAATCTTCACATGCTACTTCCTGCATTGAATTATATTTAAATGTCTTTGGATTTCCTACAATTTCTAATCTTTGAATATAAAATAACTTACCTTTGCGCTTATTGAAAAATATGTTAAAATCTGTTAAATTGACGAATTTAATAGACTAAAATAGAATTGTGGTACAAGATATCTTGAGGTACCGTTACTTTAGTGAGTATATGTTATATATAATTTAGGATATTTTTAATTCACAAAATTATTGGACAATTTTAAAAAATAATTGTGACTTATGTATTTTCTTTAAGCTTATACAACATTATGTACAAACGTAATGTTCAACCATATACAAAAAAGTGTAATTAATCATCTTACAAGGTAAAAAATTTGCAATTGGGCTACCATGATGATTTAGATTACATAGAATTATTACATGATTTTGTACATCAAACTCGAGAAAATTAATTCAAATAATATCAGATCGATTATAACTTTAAAGGCATGTACATATGATTCCCATTAAATATTACTGTCCTGGTCTTTTCATTGTTACACAATTAGTT